GAGAGATAGGGCATATCGAGCTATGAAACTATCTCCTCCTCCTATTACCCACACCTCTTTCATTACTTCTAGGAATTGATGTAAGGATATTTTTCGTAAGGCCAAGCGGAATTTTATTAAAAGAAAGACCGCTGTCCTGACTAATTCTTCCTCTAGTAAATCCTTTTGGTCCTTAACTAAAAACATCTGTAACAACTTCTGCACTCCTTCTTTTCCTCCTCTCTTCTGACCTGATAACTCTATAGCCAACTCTCCCCCTGACAAAACCAACCTCTTTGGAACTTTATTCTCCTCTAATTCCACCTTAGACAATTCCCACTCTATCCCTCTTACCCCTGCACCTCCTACTGAACCTATGCACTTTCCTATAATCTCCACTCGCAGGGTTGCCGGTGTGTTATCCAGGATGGATGCGAGTAAGGCGCATGGACCGGACGGAATACCCCCTCGTGTTCTGAGGGAGTGTGTTTGCTCGCCTCTTTCGCCTCTGCCTCAAAACCCAAGCTTTTCCTTCTTCTTAGAAGCATGCCTTGGTTCAGCCCATCCCAAAGAAGGGTGACCATTTTAATCCCTTTAACTATCACCCCATTGCCCTAACTTCATCCCTCTCTAAGATTTTCGAAACTATCTTAAACTCCCATTTTCTCCGTCACCTTGAATGCCTTTCACTTTTGTCAGATCACCAGTATGGCTTTCACCAGGCGAGATCTACTGATGATCTGCTCTCCTATTGCACCCATCCTTGGTCATCCTCTCTTAGGGATTATGGGGAAACTTTCATCATGGCCTTCAACATCTCCAAACCATTTGACAGGGTATGGCACAAGTCTTTGCTATCTAAACTTCCCTCTTTTGGTTTCTCTCCCCCACTTTGTTTTCTCATCTCTAGCTTCCTTGAGAACCAATCCATGGCAGTTGTTGTTGAGAGATCGATCTCTCGTTCTTTCTCTACCAGTAGTAGTGTCCCACAGGGTTCTGTTCTTTCACCTACTCTCGTCCTTCTTTTTATCAATGATTTACTTCACACTACAACTAATTTTATCCATTTTTACGCTGATGATTCTACTCTTCACTCTTCTTCACATTTTCCCCTTCCTCCTAACTCTCAAACTAGATCTGTTTCTGGAACTGATATCATTACTTCTATCAATGCGGATCTGTGCAGCATCTCTGAATGGGGAGGTACAAACTTGGTTAAGTTCAATAGTCATAAAACTCAATATTTACCAATTACACTTTGTAAATTAGACGATCTCCCACCAATTACATTTCAGGACACTATCATTCTGCCAAATTCTGAAATAAATATGTTAGGCCTCACCATTTCCTCCAATATGTCCTGGAATTGACACATCCTTAATACAGCTAAAGCTGCCTCCCGAAAGTTGGGAATGCTGTACAGATGCCGTAGCTACTTCACTCCTGAGCAGTTGCTCCAAGTATATAAGGGATTCATTCGTCCTAACTTGGAGTACTGCTCTCATATCTGGGGTGGCTCTTCTTCTGTCCAACTGCTACATAGGGTGGAATCAAAGGCATTTTGTCTTATTAACTCTCCTCCTTTAGTCAACAATCTCTTTTCCATTTCTCTTCACCGCAATGTTGCTTCACTCTCTCTCTTTTACAGGTGCTTTAACGGGCAATGTTCAGTGGATTAGGCATCCTGTGTACCGCCGGCAAGACCGTGGGCTCGTAACACATGTCTTACCCGCGGTGTCCACCGTTTCTCTGTGGATGTCGGTCACACGAGAATAACCCATTATAGTACCTCCTTCTTTCCTCACACAGCCAAACTGTGGAATGCTCTGCCTTCTTTTGTATTTCCATACTTATACAATGTCTCACTTTAAAAAGTTGGTTTTCCGGTATCTTCGTGGTGTAGATTAACACTGTATAACCTTTTTCTTCCCAATTTTCAATTTCTTTGTTCTTTTTTTTTTCGCCCCCTAAGCCCCGTTGTGGGTCGTTTGACCTGTGCCAAGATGGGCTAATTCCCGAAAAAAAAGATAATTAGGCGCCTAGGCGCGCACTACTTTTTCTTCCCAGCAGTAATGCAGCCGTGCTCTTTGCTGTGCTAGCGTCTCATCCCCACACCAATTTTATTTTCAACATGACGTGAGAAGGTTGTTGCCAGGTCTTGTGTTACAGTTCTAGTGCTTATAAAGGCACTTGGCTTGAAAATACCAAGATTAAACACAGCATTGTACTTTTATTTATACGCATCTTTCTAAGAAAGTACTTTTCACAGCAATACTGTGATATTGAACTGGGTTTGTGTGCAAAGTCTCTTGAATACGACGTACTATTTCAAAATACGCCGCTGCCTGGACTCAATCAAAGCCGATGAAGGTAGCTACTCTCACGTCCACAAAAAACGTATAATTACACCAAATCATAGTAAGTTCTTTCTCTTTAATAGGTAATTATTTGTTTTAGCACACCCTCGAATTTTTTCACAAGATGTTTGATTTCTGATGTATTTTGATGTGTTTTGTTCAGATCTGACCTTCATTTCCATGGGAAATGCGTTGATTTTTAAAAGATGCGAGTCATCCTAGATCAAAAGCGGCTATTTTCCATCAAAAACCAAACATCTACACCCCTAACTTTCACTAAATTAACCTACCTTAACCTAACCCCTGTGGGGAACCCTAATCCCTACCCCAGCGGGGTAGAAAATGTTTTATTTTTTACTTACAGCTCCAGACAGCTCATGGTGGGACAACAAATGGCGGGTAGTGATTTATTGATCTAATTTCTTAGGCTCTCCTCGCTTGTGTGATTTTTCTGAAAGAAACATGCTTCCAAGAGGCTTCAAGGGTTGAGGAATGTATATATAACATTTTTTTTTTTTTTTTATTATTATTTATTGGGCACTCCCCTACATCCTTGTGTAAGGTGAAACGCAGAAGCGTTTACAGTGCCCAACAGGGAAGCATGCTAAGTTCATGCTTGCCTTTATGTCTCATGAGTTAAGGGCGTAGAAGCCTGAAGAGTCAGTGGTTTATGTCATCAAGTTATTGGAAGCTCCAACAACTTGTCCCCGAATACGAATTCGCAACTTTCGATTTACACCAGGTACCTACTTTACTGCTAGGTGAACAGGGACTAATGGGGGCTAGGAAGTATGTCCAAACAACTTCCACCGGCCCGGGAATCGAACCCGTGACATCTCGCTTGCGAAGGCAAGAGCGGTACCACTCTACCACCAGCACCCCTATATATATATATATATAACATTGTAATTGTCTAAAAGTAAGTGCTTCTATGCAATTTGAAGATGTGCTAAACCAAATAATAACTGTTTAATATACCGAGGAGTCCAGGAGAAGAAGTTAGGTAAGGTTAGGTAGGTTTGTTTGGTTAGGTAGGTTTGTTTGGTTAGGTTGGTGAGGTCTGTTTTTCATACCCACACATTTCCACAAACAACAACAGTGTTCACTATAAAAGACATTTGAAATTGCAGCATTTTTAAAATCGTTTTCTATGAAAAGTTGCTTGCGGGTCAATTGTCAATAATTACCCCAATATCTTCCCAGATGGTAGTACCTCCCTGTTTGATAGCTGCTTACTACCTACGACTGATTCCAATAGTTAAATTCCAAGGTAAATTTTTACTTTAGGACATGAGTCCCTAGGGGTTGACCAATATGTTTTTCCAGTATATTTTGGTGTGTTTTAAGCGAATCTGACCTTCATTTTTGTCGGAAATTGATAGTTTTTGCCCTCGGATCCCCCAATAATAATGGGGGAGAGCCTGGGAAATCAGGGTTTTTGGGTGGGGAGAAAGCGAAAACGAGTCATTTAACCTAACAAAACCTAACCTAACCCCATGTAGACCTAGCTTAAAATAACCTAACCTAAATGTTTCAGTACTGTAGTTTAAAACTTTGGGGCATGCCATGTTCGAAAGTACAATACCTTAGTTAGAAGTGGATAGAATGATCGTCTTTCTCGTAAAACTCAACATAAACTTAAAATAATAGTAGGAGCACGAATGACAACCAATCTCCACCACAGCCATTGTCAGACTGGTCAATGAAATTCAAATCCGTACCCAGGCTGCTTCCTTTGAAAAAATTCATAGGTGATTGGTCGAAAAAAAATTGTGTGATGATATCGATACATCATTGGTCACGACTGGATGACGTCAGTCAATATTGTGCATGCATGATGCACCGAAAACATCTCCTCACAGACGAAGAATGAGAAGTGCATAAAATCAATTAAATTCAATTATGTCGCTATTAACCATTTCCGAATGGTATAAATGGGGTTCAAAATGCTCAGAATAGGGAGATCTAAATGTTTCAGTAGTTTATAACTTTGGAGCGAACTATGTCCAAAAGTGAGATGATACTAATTCCCAAGATTCCCTGGTTGACTGAAACTAAAATAATACCCTTTGAACAACCATGATTGTCGGTAATTGGGGATGGGGGGGGATCTCCATAACGGCTCATTTGCACCAGAAATGCCATAAAGCGGGAATATATAGATAACCGTAGGTTGCGATATTCATCGCCAGTGTCAAATTACTATACATTGTTCTTTCGTATACCGGTTAGTGAGTAGTTGTTGTTGTCTGCCATACAAATGTATGTTTTTTTATATTCAATTTAACATATTTCAATATCTAACAGTGTCCACTATAATATAACATCGGATTTTAATTGTTATATTATAGTGGACACTGTTGTAGTTTGTGGAAATATGTTAAAATTGGATATTTAAAAAAAACGCTACTTTACACATTTGTGGGTATGAAGAGCAGACCTAACCAACTAAACCAAAAAACCTACCTAACCTCACCTAACTTTGCCGGTATATTACACAGAAAGAACTTAATGTGATATAGTGAAATTTGAGGCACTTTCTGGACGTGAGATGATATGGCCGCATCAGCACTACGCAGCCCTGGCGGGTTAGTCCTATATATTAACCTTAACCATACATATAAATTCAAAATCCAGCAAAAATCAAATTAAAATAAACCTTGCCTTGATATATCTCCTATTTGTTGTTACTCCACCCGAAAGTGACTACCAGTCCTCCAGAGTCCAGACCAAGGAAAGTATAAAGGAAGAAGCGCGTTTTAAAAGCTTCAAGACCCGAAGCTGCTTCTGTAGCTCCCCCTAGTGCTCGCGCCTGGTCACTAGACGGCACTGACTAATAGCCAGAAAAGTTGTGACGTTTGTTTTTGTTTTGACTTGATCACTGGGACGCTGGGAGTGGTGAGTCTAGTGAGTGGTGACTAACATGACAGTAACACAAACATGGCGAGAAGGAATGGGCTTCACCGGTGTGTTTGTGGGGCACAAATAAAAACAACAATAAAGACCTGAGGTTTCATTACTTTGTAGTGGATTTCTCCCCTACAAACGCTGTTTGTCGCTGAGTAGCCGACCCCGCGAATTCCTCAGTGTATGCCTCGTGGTCTAGGTCAACCAGCGCCGCCATACATCACGGAGGTCAACTATTAAGCCACGCCTACCTCCGCTATATAAGACCTGACCTCGTGGTGACCTATCTCTTCAATGACATTCGCCAGCCAGCCTTCGCCGTGAACGGACCTCTCTTCTGACCCTTCACTGCTAAAGCCTCCCAGCCTGTCTTTAACCGTTGACGACCCGAACGAAAACGACCACCTCACCACCATTACTCACACACCCGGGAACCTCGTTCCAGACAACGCCCTTTCTGTGCCTCCCCACTGATCAGGGGTGACTCCTGATCAGAGGCGGCCCTGATTGGGAGATCTGTAACGGCTTTCTGCAGCGGACTTGGGCCGCGATCCCACTGGTGTCACTTGCACCATTGGCTGCTTTTCTTTGATCTTCCTTCTTTTTCGCTCTGGCCTGGGGACCTGCACCCTAGAGGTGTATTCGTCCTTGGGTCCCCCCTGTAACTGTTCACCCCCACTGTAGGAGATGGTGAACACGAAAGGGGGTAGGAGCAGAACCCACCCCTCCGCCGAGCCTTCCTGGGAAACCGTGGTCGTGCGGGTCCACCTAGGAAGGGGGTCGCAATCCTTAATCCTCCACCCCTCCCCTGAATAGGTACACTTTAAGCTCACGCCTATAAGTGAGCACTTATCAGCAATCGGGATATAGGTTCCCCTAACGGGGCTCCTGGGTGAGTGACACAGGAACCACTCCACGACCACTCGACCAGCAAGTGGCGGTGGGGAGTGCTGTAATTCCTGTATTTAGGTTGCTCTCCCGGAATAGGTAGGGTGCCTGTAACTTCCGTAAAATCACAACAAGACTGATGCCACGGAGAACGACCAAAGCAAATGACTAGGACAACTGGAAACAGGATACGGGTACGCTCCCTCTTGGGTGGCGTATCCGAAAAACGCAAGGAGGAACTGGGCATACTACTAAGTGCCCAGCTAAACATTAAATTCGCCGCCTTGATCGAAACAAAGGACTCCTTCATAGTCCTGTGCCGACTCAACAAAGAAATTAAAAGAATGAGGATTTGAAACAGTAATACCACCACAACTACGTGCAAAAAATCCGTAGTAATTAAAAGGGAAGACAAAAATATACTGAAAGAAACATTGCTAACAATATAGAAGAGAAGAACCCATGGGCCAGAGTTGAGGAGGTGGTGCTAATGCCTGGTGCTCCCACCATGATGAAGGTCAGGTTTGGAGAGATCTCCATGGCACAAAAAGCACTAGAGAGTGGCCTCTGTATCTCCCACTACCATCTGTCAAAACAACAAATTGAGCAGGAGGAATTTTACGCAATAACACCGTGTTGGAACTGCTATAAATACAATCATCTTGCCATAAACTGTCCCCAAAAAGATAAGAAGTTCTGCTCCGAATGTGCAACAGAGGGCCATACATTCAGAGAATGCAGCAATAAAGATAACCCCAAATGCCTGAACTGCAATGGGGACCACCGAACACTAGCAGCACGCTGTCCCATAAGGAAAGAAATAATCAGGAATCTGAGAGAAAAAGAAAAGACAAATAAGAAGATGGAAACAGACCCCAACAAGACATATGCAGCAATTGCAAAGCTGCAAGATACCACCTCCAAAGTCCTGAAGAAAGCCAAAGAAAATCCTCTCATGCAACCTACATACCTCAATCTGAGCGAAGGATTACCTTTCACAATTCTAACCAGTATTATTCATGCACACATCAACAACATTGCAAAACCAGGAACCTTTGGAAAAACGATCAGGGAAATGTTTGCTGCAAACAATCTGCCGGAGGTGAAATTTCCAGACGACGCCCCCTCAACAGAAATATTTAAAATTGTCACCGAGAGTAGCCTGGGAATAACCAAACCACAGGAGCACATAACCAAACTAGGCACAGAAGAAAACGTCATGGAAATAGACTAGGGTTGCCATATCTGAACATTAAAAAAAGAGGACGCTCCCGAAGACACCCCCCCCCCACCGCCAGGCACACACAGGCTAATATACAACATATATGGTATAGAAATCTAAAAAAAAAAATACCTTTGCTTAAGGCTGAACATCTTCATTCCCTTAGCTGCAGTCTTCTTCCCCCACTGTGTGTGTGACTTGATGTGCCCATGCATACTTTTCTGTAGATCGGATCTTTTTCAGTATTGGTTGATTGCTCTTTAGAAAGGTGTAGAAGTCACTGCAAGGTGTTTTTCGGAAGTTGTACTGTACAGTCAGAATGCCTTTCATTGTTTCAACACTCAATTTGTTCCTTTCCTTTGTCCATTGACTCTGCATCAGTGAAAAAACTCTTTCTACATTTGCATTGTGAGATGATATAGCAAAGAAGAATTGTGCAATTCTTAGCAATTCTGAGTGGCATTCAATGTTCTTTGATTTTTCAAAGTATCTGGTCCACTTTTTATGTGTTGGCAGATTACTAAATTCTTCATCACTTGTAATTTTCCACAAACTGCTTCAGGTTACTAACTTGGTCAAAACACTTCATCAACTTCTACCCCCTTATCAATCAAATATTTGACAGCTAAGTTGACAACACCGTACAGGCGTACAAGTTACTTACCAGCTGACGAAAACTGAAAGAGATCTCTACGGTTTCCACCTTCCCTCTCTCTTTTTCTCCCGTCATTACAGTTTCATGTTTTTTTCTGTGGAGAAAATGATGGAAGCTGAAATTCCGGACTTTTGAAGAATTTTAATTATTCCTTCCGGATGAAGATTTCGAGACCTAAATGGAGGACATGTCCGGGAAAATACGGACGTATGGCAACCCTAAAATAGACCCTATCACCCAAGCAGTCACACCTCACCGCAAATCATCAGATTCCACAACTCAGCAAACAGAGAAACCACAACCTGCAAAAGCTGACCCAACCAAAGCGAAACCAAGAAAAGAATCCCACTCTGGCCATCGTGCCCCCCCCCCCCATCTTCACCAAGCGATGTGCAGCCAGCAGACCTAGGCAATGAGATCGGTATCCGCTTCTACTCAGTCAACACACCACCTACAATAACAAATGACAGACTTCTGCAGGAAATCAAGGAAGGCACAGTCAAATTCACCTACGAAGATGATAGGGTAGAAGAATCCTACATAGACCAATTGATAAATGCAGGACTTATAAACACCAAATACAATAAAATTGAAAGAGTAGATATAACTAAGTTTAAGAAAATCAGAACGGGATTGAAGGAGGAAAGGAGCAGACACTCACCAGGAGATACACGAGCCAGCAAACACCCTACACCAAGCTCTCGGGATCCACGACTACTCAAAACAAATTATTAAAGATAATTCAGCACAACGTCCTTGCCTGGAATCTGACGAGGAAATCAGAACTTACCAACATATACAGCACAATAGACCCAGACATCATCCTTATCAACGCATATGGTCGGAAAAACAGTGACAAAATCAAGATCTTTAACTACCATGTACATCAAATGAACATACACGACGAACCACATGACGGAATAGCAATAGCTATAAAACGCAACATACAATACAAAATCATTGACAACTTTCAAAGTAACTTTCTTGCAGCCGAAATAAATACAAGAGGCCCAATAACTATTGGAACCTCATATTTAACATTCAGAAGGCCAATATTCCCTACAGGGGACATCTTAAAACTAATGAGGCAAAACAATCCAGCATACTTCATAGGAGACCCCAATGCTAAACACACAACCTTAGGAAACAATATTAGAAACCCGGGAGGAAAAATCCTCCATGCTCTCATCGAACACGGGACAATAACACACCTCGGGCCCGACTTCGCAACTTATGTATCAGCCGGTAACTCTGGGAAACCAGACATTGTTTTAACCAATAGGC